CTTTTCAAACCATCAGGGACCATTCAATGACTGAATGGCAGAGGTTCATCCCGTGGGAGGATGAAAGCAAATACTCGAGACTATTTAGCGAGTAAAATGGTTAGAGATTGTCCTATTTTGAATTACTTGTTTTATTCAATACGTTTTTGACGTTTTTTTTTTTTTTTTGTTCCCAAATCTTTTATCTCTTTCTCTCATATAAATGTGTTAATATTATAAACACATATATTACAAAAATATATCTATATATCTATATCAAGGTTCTACATGTAATGCATGTATCGGATAATTATGGGTCATTTATATGTACATATATATAGATATAGAATATTGCGGGATCAAAGTACAGGCAACTATACATCATTCTGGGTCAATATATTGATATAAAGAACATCGTGGGATATGTAAAATGTTAAAATCACTGTTGATTTGATTACACTTCCCTAAAATCTTAACGCGTGATAATTTTTTTCTGAATAATCATTAAGTTGTGGATGATTTTCTGCGATACTGACATATGTCTTTGTTACTTAAGCTTCACGGTTCACATCAGGGTAACGCGCCTTCTTTATAATAACATTTTAAAGTCATTTTATCTTATAAAATGATATACTTGAAGCTTTCTTTTATATCTAAATAATCATATAGACTTTAGGAAGAACACAACTATCGTACGATTCAAAATTATAAAATTATTTAACCTTATTTTTTTTTTTATAGATTTATACGATGTAGTACATTAAAAACAAAAGCTCATGCATGGCATGACATATACATGTAAATAAATAATGCGTTACAATCTGATAATGATTCACTGCAATTAGGCTATAAAATCTAGCTGTTTCCCATAATCCCCCCAATACTCATGGGAAAGTATATAAAATATTGTGGGTCACGCGCGAAATTCTGCCAATCCACAGAGTGGTAAGATTTCATATATATATAATTGCATTGTGGGTCATTTTTTGAGTGTGTAATTATGGGTCAAAAAAATTTTTTTTGTAAAAAATGGAAATAGTAACTATATTATTGTCATAAACAAATTTTTAGGCACATGGTTTGTGGGTCAATATATAATGACCCATAAACCATCCATGATACCCACAACGTGAGTGAAAAAGACACAAAATATCCCACAATCCGCATGGCACAAAACTATATATATGTATATATATATATATATATATATATATATATATATATATATATATATATATATATATATATATATATATATATATATATCCAAAAAATGAAAAGAAATATCACAGTGTCCGGTAATTAATATGAAAATTAAAAATAACAAGGCAACAATGTTAGTAAAACGTAAACGCTTTCATTATACTTCTTCAGACGTTTTACAATTCAAAACAATTCAAACATGTGACGTTATAACGCTACCTGATGATAACGTCAACAACAATGCAATGACGTCACAATGCTTATAGAGGAAACAATTATAGAGTCTAAGTAAAATTACTTTGTTCATTAATAGCGTAATAAATAATAAAGTCATGAAACAGTCTATATTAAACTATTTAAGGACGGTTTAAAAATCTTGATGAAATGTTTTTCTTTTTCCCGTCTTTCTAAAAGATTTTCTGTTTTGAGTTTATAAAAGGGATAAACTGAGAATTGTCCCTGTCCACAAACAGCAAGATGTTCACTGAGTTTTATTTTTCTGTACTCGGGTTGGTTGATATGTTGTCTATGTATGCGTATACGAGTGCGTAGTGTGGTCCCCGTTTCTCCTATGTATAATTGTCCGCATCCAGCACATGTTATACAATAAATAACGTTTTTAGATGCACAGGTCATATCTGCATTGATAGTAAATTCTTTATTTCCGAGTGTAAAAGTACTTCCCTCTTTAATATACTGGCAGGTTCCACAACGTGAATCAGAGCATTTATTGACCACATACAAATTCCGTTGGTGAAATGTAGATTTACACAATATTCTTCGGAGGTTTTTAGGTTGTCTTTTACTGTTGATGAATTTATATTTTTCCAGTACTTTGGACATTTTCTCATCCGTCTGTAGAATGTTGTTGAGGTGACGCACTGTAGAGGTTATATTCCTGTTCTTTGGATTGTATGTAGTTACAAGCGGTAATATTGCAGAATCTGATGTGTCACTTTTTGAAGAATTAATAAGTTTATCTCTGTCGATTTCTATAGCCTTTCTGATTCTGTCCTCAATGATTCCAAGAGGATAGCATTGTTCAAGCAGATATTTTTTTAATTCATTCAGACGTTCATCTCTTTTTTTCTTGTCGCTAACAATAGTGCAGATTCTTCTAGCTAAATTGTATGGGATTGAACGTTTCGTATGACTTGGATGACAGGAACTGAAATGGAGATATTGATGTGTGTCTGTCGGTTTGTAGTATATGTCTGTCGAAATACATTCTCCATGCTTTGCTATAAGGACGTCCAAAAACGGAATGCTTTGTAAACTTTCGTCCATTGTGAAGTTGATGTCAGGATCTAGATCGTTTATAATATTTAGGTAAACTGCTAGATTCGCATCGCTGTCATTCCAAATGATAAAACAATCGTCAAGGTATCTTTTCCAATTGTTCTTTATATTTTCTGAAGTCTGTTGGTCAAAGTACTGAGTAGTTTTTTCATACATCCTCTCCTCTAGATATCCTAGTGTAAGGGTGGCATAAGTAGGGGCCATCTTTGTACCCATTGCCGTTCCTTTCTTTTGTGCATAATGTTTGTCGTTAAAAGAGAAAGTATTATTTTCCAATACTATTTTACTAGCCTCTAAGATGAAGTCTTTGCTGAAACGCTCATTAATTTTTTGTGGTTATTTATCAATCCAGTCCTCGAGCACCTTGACACCAAGAGAAGTAGTAATATTAGTGTACAAATTAGTAACATCCATTGTGACTAGCTTGGCATCATGACTAACTTTTTCAGGAAGATGTTTCAGTGAACATCTTGCTGTTTGTGGACAGGGACAATTCTCAGTTTATCCCTTTTATAAACTCAAAACAGAAAATCTTTTAGAAAGACGGGAAAAAGAAAAACATTTCATCAAGATTTTTAAACCGTCCTTAAATAGTTTAATATAGAATTTTTCATGACTTTATTATTTATTACGCTATTAATGAACAAAGTAATTTTACTTAGACTCTATAATTGTTTCCTCTATAAGCATTGTGACGTCATTGCATTGTTGTTGACGTTATCATCAGGTAGCGTTATAACGTCACATGTTTGAATTGTTTTGAATTGTAAAACGTCTGAAGAAGTATAATGAAAGCGCTTACGTTTTACTAACATTGTTGCCTTGTTATTTTTAATTTTCATATATATATATATATATATATATATATATATATATATATATATATATATATATATATATATATATATATATATATATATATATATATATATATCAGGTCTGAACTAAAGTGCAGTTGTATTAAATTAAAGAGGGTATATAAGTGGTGAATAATAAATCACATGGTACAATTTGTTAGTTTTTATGTGGACAGCAAGTACCGGTAAATATTATTTTGTATAATGTTTTAAATTGCTAACAACCTTTAATTGATGTCTAATACTGACAGCTAATTCTTTACTACAACTGGGGATTGTTATGCCCATGAGTTTGCAGGTGTATTGTTTATTTTGGTTGGTTGGTTTTCAGTCAATTTCAGAAATTCAAATTAAGTTGTGTCTCTTGGACTTTTAACCTCAGATGTTTTTTTTCTCTTGAATTTCCACATAATTATGACTTTATATTGGTTAAAGATAAAGATCAAGTCACACTTAAACTTTAACAAATGTAAATGTTTTCATTTAGGAAACTTTTTAAATGACTGCGCCTTGAATTTTTATCCCCCCCCCCAACACCTTTTGAAAAAAGGGGAGCATATTGTTTTCCATCTGTATCAGGGTTGTCCTTAAGACCCGGGAGCCAGGGAATTTCCCCACCTATAATGAAGTGATTCCCCGGTTATTCTGGTATTCCCCCTCAACCTCCTGTTAAGGGAGGAACCTCAGACACCCTTCTACTTTTTTAATGTCCCCTGCTATTTCAATTCTTATAGGGGCAACCCTGTGTATGTTAGCATGTTGGTTGGTCGATAGACCTAAGTGTTGTCCAAAAAATATCTTCAAATCCTTTGCTAAACATACATAAACTTGGTATACTGGTACCCCAAAGGGAGTGCATGTGGATTTTAAGATCACAAGGTCAATTAAAGGTCAGATTACTCTTGGCATTGTTCAGTAGACTAAGTGTTGTCAAATCAATATCTTGAGAACTTGTTGCTTCACAGACATCAAACTTGGTATACTGGTATCCCCTAGAGAGTAGATGACGTCAATTGATTTTCAGGTCATGAGGTCAAGAGTCAAAATACTCTTGATTCAGAAATATGTTGTCCACTATATATATTGAGACCCCTTTGCTTGACTGTTGCTCAATTGGTACACAGATATCCCTAAGAAATAGAGGACCCTAATTATTTTGAAGTTGCAAGATCAAAGATCAGGGTAAAAGTACTCTGAACATAAAAAGATATTGTCTACTTGGTGTCTTTAGAGCCCTTTGCTTGAAAGACATCAAGTCTTTGTATACTTGTATCCCTTAAAGAGTAATTGACCCCTATTGATTTGGAGGTCATGAGGTGAAGGTCAGACTACTCTAGACTTAGGATATTGTCCTCAGTATCTTAAAAATCCTTTGCTTGTCTGCTCAATATCTTGTGAAATAGGTTTACCTGTTTTCAAAATTTCAATTGCTACATGGGGGGCAAATATGTTTCTATTTTTAAAATTTCTTGTTATCATAAATTCTTTTTTAATTAACCTACAGAATATTTCTTTTAGAGGGATGAACATTTAGATATATAATGTACATGACTGTATTACTACATCACAACTTCAAGTTATAAGACTTTTGTGATTAAGTACTTAATTTAGTTAAAACTTTTTGACATGATTGCACTAATTGGTTTATTTTGATTTGAACAGTTGTTGTCGCAGTATTCAATTTATGAGAGAATAACTATATACCGCACGTCCACCAATCAAAATACCCCACATGTTATCAACCCCAGTGCTTCCAATCACACTCAAAGTTTACGAGGCAAAAATCACTCATTTCACCCCACCACAAAGGTATTGCAGTTATTTGTGCAATAGAAGCATTTTAATTTTTTGCCTATTTTCATTTGCCTGTTTTATCTTTTTTTTTTTTTTAAAAAAAAAAAGGGGTGCATTTTGGAAATAAAAAAAATGTTGTTTTTTTTGTTTTTTGTTTTAATTTTCATTTATTACCAAAAATGTTCTGGAGGAGGTGTATGTTTTCACAGCAATTTTTTTTTGATAATTACAGCAGACAATATAAATGTCTTAAAACTTTATGAAATAAATATCACTTATGAATGTTCACATTTTTTGTCAGCTTTTAAACATGTTGGGTCTTATTTAATATACATCATGTATTTAATATACATATTTAATATACATCATGTAGATCTTTCTTTGGTATAAGACACAAATAAACTTTTATTACTTAAGCTCTAACCAGACAAAATACTCCATAATTTTCAGGGTGAATTTAACTGTTCACTTATTGCTACCGATTTTCATCTCATATTTTATTATCAAGTAGGAAAGCTTCAAGCACTTGACTGTAATTACTAATATTTTCAATTCATAATCTTTGTATTAACTTTAAAAAATTTCAAAGAAGTAGTGGAATAATAGTGAGAGTTTTAAACCACTATTCACATTATTAAAAGCTGTGGTTCACCTCTGTTAACTGCATGGAGTGTTGTATTTTAAGTTACCTTATCGCTTATGTGATGCTTTTGTTGCTTGAGTACATGTTTGTAGATATAAGCACCTGTATAACTAAAATGAAAACTTTTTTTCTTAATCATCATTATGATGGGTGTTTACTGTTCTTTGTTTGTAAAGCTAGTTTGCGATCCTTATAGAAGATTCAGCTGTTAAATATTTATAAATTAAATCGTATGTTTCTTTTTTTTTTTTAAATAAAATTTAGATTTGCATAAAATGACATTTCAAAATACCGGTATTATTTTACGTGCAAAATATTCACAGAGAAATGTACAAAAATGTTTTTTACACTTGTAAAGATCAACCTGCTTTTTAATGGAAACATTTTTTTTTATGTATTGACCACAAACCTGCTGATAATGGATTTATATGTTGTTTTTTTTAATTAATTTTTTGTCTGTAGTACCTTCAATAGTGTAACTAACATTAAACAAGAATAATTTAGGAAAACATGTCTGTAGCAAACACAGATATAGCAAATATATATACATACAGTTGAACTTTGGTATCTCGAACTCTGATATCGTGAATACCAAGGATATGTCGAACTGATTTGAAAGTCCAAAGCACTATTTTATTATTGTATTTCAACCTCAATATCTGGAACCCTCAGACACCTTTAAGTTTTTTTCTGGGTGAGTTTGATATAACAAGGTTTGACTGTACTTATTAATAAAATGAATTCTGTTTTCACCTTTTACTAGAAACTTGTGAATTTTGAAATAAATTCAACAAATTTAAATAAACCTCATGGTAATTTTATGTTTGCCTTAGTAATTTGCTATAAATATTTTATTATTAAAGATACACGTCAGTCATTAAATTAAAAATAAATTATCATGGACTGCTCTGTCATCAGATGGTGTCCTCCTCAACCAAGACCTTCAATACCAAACTCCACAGCTACATAACAGATCCCTGGAATATAGTGGATGTAGTGACCATCATTATGTTTATTGTGGGGATAATCCTGCGCTTCCTCCCTTACTCCTCCACTCTGGAGGCAGCCCGCTGTGTCATGGCCCTCAACCTGGTCATCTTCTTCTTTAGGATCCTACATATATTTTCTGTTCATAAACAGCTGGGACCCAAACTAGTCATGATTGGCAGAATGGTGAGTGGATTTTGAGGAAATTTCTGAAGAATCAATGTAAAAATTTTAATTTTTCTAATCTTGTATTCCCTTTTTGATGGGCTGTATTATGGTATGGATTTTCTGTCCAGTGCATCAACCTCTCTGTTTATCCTTCTTGGAGGGTGTGTTGCAAACCCAAAAGAGGTCAAAGAGGCCTCATTTTAGAAATGTGGCTATTCATATAAGTCAAGTCTTGTCTGGTTCTTACCTTAATGCGCTCTGTGAGACCTAGGACCATGAAACTTGGTAAGTTGATTCATCTTGGGAAGGAAGGTGTGTTTCAATCCATAATTAGGTAACCGTTAGCTCATTTTGAAATTTTATGGGTATAGATAGACCTGACAGGCATATCAATAATCATGTACCCCAGCGGTGCGCTTTATTTAAGTTCACTTGTGATCTAAAAACATATTTCTGGTTCTGAGACAAGTAGCAAAGGAGATTTTAACTATCAAATTTGGTTGATGGAGTTGCTGTATAATTTTTTCATCATCTTGCATGTCTTTGTGTGTATTGACAGTTGATGGACCTACTGTATTTTATCATCATCCTGATGGTGTTTGTCGTCTCCTATTCAATAGCAGCTCACTCTGTCATGTTTCCAAACACAGAACTCACCTTTGTCCTTGTGTACAATGTCATGAGGATGGGATATTGGAACCTATATGGAGAGCTCTTTTTGGAGGAAATAGAAAGTATGTTTGCACAGAGTTATCTTCTACCATTACATTTAAATGTGTTAATAGTACATTACCTTATAAGTATGTATATGTTATAGTATTTTTTGTATCTACTTGTTTCTGCTTGTATTAATTTTAATGTTGATTTGCATGCTGATAACATTGATAATGACATTACTACTGATTATTCATTGAAGTCAGATATTGAATCCTTATTATTTTTGATCAGTGTAATGTTTCCTTTCTAGGGGAGGAGCCTGAGTGTACGTTTGACTCGCTATTATACAGTAATGACACATTGCCTCGATGTCCTACTCCTGTGAGTCGTTATGCAGTGCCGATTCTGATGGGGTTTTATGTTTTATTCTGTAACATTCTACTCCTTAACCTTCTGATTGCTATGTTCAGGTAATTCAGCTCTAATTAGTTCTTTGATATTATAATTTGTTTAAATATTTTTAATTTTTGTAGTCCAATATTTTGATACTTTACTGTTGAATGCTAAGAGACTCCAATATCAACCTTACCAGTCCAATATTTTGACTCTAATGCCTTGTTGCCGTGAATGCGCATTAAATATTTTGATTCACAGTAAATTAATGAATTATATTTCTTTTTTATCATTTGTTGGATGTCTGTCATCTTTCAATGTATCCTTAGTCAGGATTGGACAACAATTTGTGTTCATGCAGTCTTACATTAAAAAAAGGATCAACTTCCTCAAGTTTTATCAAATATAAGTATATTTGAGATAAGGGCATTAATATACATGTATAATTGTATAATTATATAAATGTGTCAAGATTTCTCAATTCAGTGTGGAATGTTCAGCTTTATTATATTTATATAGTTCATTTTATATGAACCTTTAATTAATATTTAATTATTCAATATATCATTTGAAAAAATATATTCAAAATATGTGGGTCAAATTTCACAAAATAGTCAATATTTTGCTTTAATTAAAGTGTTCAAAGTTTAATAAACTCAAGTTTTGAAACCATTTGAATTATTTGGCATCCCTGTATACATGTGTTCATTTGTCAAGAAGAGAACTGTGACTATATATGGCGAGCAGTTGAAAATAGATAATTTGGTCAATTTTTTGAACAGTTTCCTCTAATATGTTTTTTTATCCATGTAGCTTACTGAAATTGCAATGATTCATAAAACTCTGTTCAATGGAAATTTGAAGTTTAATTTACACACAGGTTGCTTAATTTGTTAATTGTTACTATGGTACCTAAGGCTTCTGGTGGATTGTTCATTGCTTTATGCCACCGCCCAAATGGTTATTGCCATTTGCTTAAATTGTGATCTTTACTGGCAATTATTGACTACTAACTACTGCCAATAATTCAGAAGTATTGTTTAAATATGCAATTTATAAATACAGTCAACAAGTCATTCACATATCATTCAAAGCATATAAGTATAATCATCTTCGCTAGCTAAGGGTTTCCGATCCGAAATCTATTCTACAACCCTTGGCAGATTTTGTAGAGTATTTTTGGATCGGAAACCCTTGGCTAATGAAGATGAAGTATAATTAAATTGAGCACTTAAAAGGGCTTTACAGTGATAATTTAACTGTTTCATGAAAAATAATGTCAATACAAATTGTTTTGGGAATAAAATGAAATGAAAAATTTGTGTGTATGCATATATATATAGTTTAATTAGCACAAATATATACCTGCAGAGCTTTTGGAATAAATGAATTTTAGCAACAAATAAGTTTATAATTGACAGAATTAATGTAAATAACATTTAAAGCAACGTTAGCTGAGAGTAGGTAAATGGCATTTTGTTTCGGGAATTCCATACTTTTCTTTAAAAAGTATGTTAATTTCCATTTAATATTATTATGTTGACAATGGTACCATTTAAATGAATATGATAATAACATCAAATTTTCAAGCCAACATGTTCATATAATTATAATCACATACTTTGTAAAGAGAAAACAAATGAAAAATAATATGTGTATACATGTATCTGGAGAATCATTTGTTAATTTTTAGTAGTAATTTTTAGTAGAAAACACTTTATTGTTTTAATCCATTACATTTATTTTGAATCCAAGAAATTCTTAAGAAATTTTATGAAAATCTTAGAAGCAAAATAATTTATTTTTTTATTATTCAATTCAGTATTTAAAAAAGAAAATTGAAATTTTTTTTGTACATGTATTCTATTTTACTTACCATATTCAATTCCTAATTACAGTTACACTTTTGAGATAACACAAAAGGATACCAACAGTATTTGGAAGTTCATGCGGTTTAATACAATTCGAGAATATTGTGATCGCACTCCATTGCCTGCTCCGTTTTGTCTCTTTTCACATATCTATTTGTTGCTACAACTTTTTTGTCGGAAATGTTGTAAACGAAGGAAAAATGAAATAAACAGTATGAGTAAGTCGTGAAGAAATGTTGAACTTGAATTCATTTTTCAAGCATGCTCCATAGTTTGTTTGTTTTTTTTTTTTTTTTTTTTTTTTTTTTTTTGATTTTCTTGCAAGCTTTCATTTTGTTTTCTTATGAAACTTTAGCAAGTCTGTGAAGTTTTTTCTAAGAGAATGAATTTGGTTTCAATATCCATTGAAAAAGGAATTGATAGGAAAATTAGATAAATAAACCACATACAATATGAAGAAATATTCAATAATTAAACACCAAAGAAGTAGCATGATGCATTTTCACAATACATATTAAACTTCATTTGCATGCTACCATTATTGACTATTCTCAGACATATTACTGTAAATCACTTTTTATTTACGAGAACTTTATTTTGCATAATTATGCTTGTCGGTCTGCTCACAAAAATTTCATTCTTGTATATATATATATATATATATATAGTTGTATTGTTAAGAATTATATACGATAGTAACCACAATTGTGAAATTTTTATCTAGCTTAAAATATAATTACCAAATGGCTATCTCATGAAAGTAAGGTGTTGTGAAAGTATAGCAATCTACAGTATGCATTAGGGTAAAATAATAACCTAGCTTTTACGTAGTGTTATAGAGATAAAATCATAAATTTATAAATGTCACAATATTGAAATAATTAGAATTGAATTAGAATTTAACAATGTAAACAATATATCAAATTATCATTCTGCGGTCTTATACAACTTGTATATTCCAAGTAAATAAACATTCATGCAGCAAGGTCAAACATTTGTGCACAGATGAGGCCTCAGTTGGGAGTTTTGCAGCAAGGTGTGCAGTAAGTGTTGACAACGCAACCTATATTTATAGATTTTGACACAGGCAAGGGGGCCTGACGGAAACCTTTTGTGTAAAAATTTAAACAATTATAAGTCAACTGAGGAACATGGGAGAAAATACATTACTTTGTCTAGAAAAAAACCCAGTTTACTTTACTTTGATTTATTGTTTATATTGTCTCAATAGTGGTTTAGAGTAGGCACTGCATTACTACTGCATATCCATTTGAACACTGGGACAATAGCCGGCTATTGCTCTTCAAGCAATGAACTTGGCTAAAAAGCATAATATGTTGTTCACCAAAAACATCATCTTGGAAAGAGCAACTGGTCTGAGAGATTTGTGTGTCTTTTATTTATATTCTTTCATTTACTTTTTTGTATTATTTGGAAGTGACTGCTTTAAATGTTGTATTGTGGCAATTTCTTCTCTTTCCAGCAACACGTATCAGATTATACAGGAGAATACTGACCAGTACTGGTGTTTCCAGCGTTACCGCCTGATTTACGAGTATTACACCCGCCCTACCCTAGCCCCACCCCTTATTCTGATCAGCCATTTGGGTTTGTTCATTCGCTGGATTTTTGGGAAATGTTCACTGTGTTTGTCCAGTCAGCCCAGTGACCTGAGTAAGTCTAAATCACATTGCCTTGCGATAACCATAAAAAGCCATGTACCACCACACTATTGTAAATATATATATACTGTAATTTAATCATTTTGGCAACTACTGTGCACTTGTACTAACCTTTATGATGATATGACCTACCTAAAATTGCCTTTAAGGAACTGTTTTTGTTGCATGGACTGCTAAATGAGTGTCCTCCTTCCCCAGAATAAGTTTCTATATTCCTTATTAAAGTTTCAGAAGAGCCTACTAATCATTTTCATCATTTCCTTAACCACTGCAATTATATTTAACTGCATGCAATTAATTTTTGCTTATAACATTAAAATAAGGACTGACATTTTCAAGGTCATATGTTTAAGGTCATTTTTGAATCATGACTCTACTTTCTGTAAGCGTAAGACAAATTATGTAGTGTACGAAACATACCTCAAGGTCAATCCATTTACGTTATCCGATATTGTCATATACCGGTATATTGTATAATATGCAAATGCTAAATCATTACCTGTCCAATAGCAAATGTACAGGTAACATTATAGCTACATCAAGATTATATTCATATGAAATTGTATGAATTTCTAATCAAAGAAAACATATCAACAGGTGTGATAATCATGGATACCTGGGGATATTTGGTACTCAATCAGTAAAGTGTTCTCTTGTTCCTTCTTTCTTTTTTGCATGATGTTAAGCTAGCCACAGGTTGTTATGTGATGTACTGAGTTTCTTTTTTTAACCAAAAAAGGCAGCATGTGAAGTTGAAGTTAAATCTGACTTGCAGTTGTAAATAAATTTTTATACAGCTAGTGCTTTAGCTTCATTTCTCTGATTTTTGTGTATTTAGTAATAAAAGTCTATGAGTTGCATGAGTCGTGGACTAGTTAATAATTTTCCATCTTACTTTTTAAAATTTTTGATAAACAAAGTTTTAAAACTTTTAAAACTCATATAACATTTACAGATACTTTTGAATTTTTTATAGCTCTGCTGTAAAAAAAAAATAATTGACCTAATTAATAACATCATCTGATCCATTAAAATTGATTATTTTCTTTGTCCCTCTAGTAACTCGATTTCCTGCAGACAAGGCAAGGGAACTAGTCCAATGGGAAAATATGATTGCAGATGCTTACATGAATCGCTTAGAACATGAAGAGAAGAAAAACATTCAAAACAGAATTATAAATACCCAAGAATCGTGAGTACTTGAATATACAACATAAAAGATTTGGGCTTCATTTTACAAGAGAACTTATGACCTAGACTAAAAATATGACAGTTTTAAAATCTCACCATTTTTATAATTACACAAGTACTTGTGTAAAATTATACATGTATAACCAAATTCTTGTTGTTAGATTAAAATCACTTTAATCAATGTAAAAAAATGAATTGCAAAAAGCAAACTTTGGTCTTATAGTTTTCAGTTCTTTTGTAATATGCTGGGTCCCTGTTTTCTGAAATGGAGTCTTAAAATCATTAGAGTGTAATTGGGTGCATATTTAAAATGGAATCTCTTGTATTAATTTATAAGATACTGCATATTCCTAGGATGTATCATACAATTTGTACAAAGCAACGATAAAGTCTTGTAATATCTGGTATGGAACATGTATGAGGATGTTCATTCATTGTCCTACTAAATTCTCGAGCTATTCTCAACAATATATTACTGTTCCAGGATACATGAGCTATTCTTTAAGCTGGATGAGTTACAGGATATCCAGACCACATCCGGAGCCCCAGGGGTACCCCCCGTTATCAAGGCCCCTATTAATCCTGTGGTTAGAATGCCCCCACAAATGGACAAGAGACTGCTAGCTCTTGAGGAGCAGGTAGAAAAGCATTTTACTTGTTGAAATATTTCTGACATAATGCCTCAGATTAACTGTGTTGGTTCTTTGACCATATACAGTTGAACTTTGATATCTTGAATTCCATGGATGTATGTCAAAGTGGGTTGGAAGTCGCAACCACTTTTTCTTTATGTATTTTGACCTCGATATCTAGAATCCTTGGATATCGCCAATTTTTTTTTTTTGGCCCCATATGAGATAATGACTGATTGTATACCATTGTAGCACAAATAATGTGTATGGCGAAATTTGAGCATGTGACATGTAATTTCTCTGGAAGATTAGAATAAAATTACCTCACATACAGATCATTTCTTTTTTGGTGAGCTATGAATGGTACCTTTTAATTGCAATGTGTCATTTTCTACATAAATTTCAGATGCAACAAAGTACTGTTGCACTCAACTGGATTATGAGAAACTTGCAAGAACAACAGAAGAGCTCTGCAAAGGTCCCACCCCTGATGGAAGATAAAAAAGAAAATGGTAGGTCAAATGTACATTAATTCAAAATTAAAAAAAAATATTTTGAGAACATTTTTTTAAAGATCATTTTTGTTTCAAATTAAATTGTACAAGGATGTGACATTTTTCGTTTGTAATTTTGATTTAGTTGCATAATTATGTTTATTTTAATTTACCTACTTCATTAAGTTAATTTTCATCTTGTGGAGTTGATAAATATTTTAATTACTTTTTTGAAAAAGATGCTGAAAAAATGTAAAATGAATATAAATGAAATAATTTTTTTATTTTGTGTATGACTGCATATTCAGTTATGGATAAACTTCACTATCTCGAACACTGATATGTTGAATACCATGGATATATCAAAGGAAATTGGAAGTCCTTTAATTCCTTAAGTATTTAACCCTTAATCTCAAATACTTGGATATCTTGAAGTCCCTTTGAGTTTGAGATAATGAGGTTTGACTGTATTTTCATTTCAATTGGCATGCTTAACTATATGTTCCTTTTCTCTCCATGGAAAAAAAAAAATATTTGTAGCATGTAGATACAGTCTCTTTTTCATCTATTGTATATTTTAAGGTCGCCATGGTAAACAATGTAAGTTTTGATGGTATTATTGAGCAAATAGTCAGGCTTAGGATTAACGTAATGATTTGCTTATTAGTATTAAATCCCAATTCTGCCTTTCAAGCAATATCATCATACATTATACATAAAGCTCGATGTGAAAGATTTTGAAAAAGCACTTTTAGGCCTAAAAAAATTAAAATCTTGGTTGTCAGGCCTGCCCGCATGTCATTCAACAATGTGCATTACCAAATTTTATCCTCAAATGAATAAAAGATAAAATTTCTCTCATGCGGTGCCCCCCCCCCCCCCAAAAAAAAATCCGGAATTCCTGACCTCATTTTGACTGCATTTTAGAAATCGGTACAACGAACGTTTGACAAATATCAAGACAATCCAGACTATTCTATTGGCCTAGTTAAAAATTGCAAATATGGCCGTTGAGTTAAGATAAGGCGTTAAGATTAAGTTTAGTCATGGTGGCATTGATTTCAGTGCAAATTCATAAGGGAATGACTGTAATACTTCCATGGTACAAAGTGAGGGTTTCTGAAGGTTCTTCCATGCTGACACTATCAAAGACAGCTCCCTCAACCTCAGAACTTGGATGTCAGCAAGATTCACAGATTTCATTTAGTGTGGGTAAACCAAAGACTGATAAATTTGACAATGTTTAAGAAAATCACAAGTGCTATTTACAGTGCTGAAACACTCTTAGATTAGTTGTTTTACGTAAGCAATTGACCAAATGCATCACTAAAAGTGTTGGGTTCTGTAAGTTTAACACGTCTGGTTTTAGGATGCTGTCGTTTCATTACACGAATCATTGGAATGTAGAAGATATGCAAGAGAAAAGAGAAAGAAGCAGGAAATAAATTATCTTGATTTCTACACTCATTGTTGAAGCACTGTTGGTTAAAAGTTGCTAGTTTTGAAATTATAAAAAAAAAAAAAAAAAAAAAAAAAAATCCTGCGTCTGGTTTTTATGAGATAAAAAGGAAAAAAAGCCTCCCTCCCGCATTTATTTTGAGAAAAATGGCCTGAGAACCAAGTTGTTTTTTGTTTTTTGCCTTATTTAAAGAATTTTCTTAGGTGATAAAGACTTAAGTTATTTTCTTAATTAATGATTGAAATTTCTCGAAAGGCTTATTCAGAATTATATCTAAATTGCAAAGAATTTTTCATATAAATGTGAAGTATGCACTATATTCATAGATTTGAATTTTATAAAGTATACAGTGCAGGCATCATTTTCTGTTACAACAGCATTATCACTAGCATAAGCACTAGCATGCATGAGTTAAAAAACAATTAGCAATTCAGCATTGCCAACAAGCACCTTACCAACAAACAGCATGAAAGTCACTAATTAAGTCAGCATACCCCAATTCAGTCAGTGCTGCTTTTTAGCTCACCTGAGCTGAAGGTTCAAGTAAGCTTTTTTGATCAAAATTTGTCCATCGTATGTCATCATTGTCGTTATAAACTTTTCACATTTTCATCTTCTTCTTCAGAATCACAGGGCCAATTTCAACCAAACTTGGTACAGAGTATTCTTGGGTAAAGGGGATTCAAGTTTGTTCAGATGAAGGGCCACATTCTCTTCCAAGAGGAGATAAATAAGAAATAATCAAAATTAGGTGTCTTTTAAAAAAATTTCTTCTAAAGAACCACTGGGCCAGAAAAAAACTTATGTGAAAGCTTCATTATGAAGTGTAGATTTAAGTTTGTTCAAATCCTGACCCCTGGAGTATGGTGAGGCCACAATGGGCAATCAGAGTTTTACACAGGAATATGTAGGAAAAATCTTTAAAAAACCTCTTCTTAAGAACAGCAAAGCCATGTTTAGTGATATTTATATGGATGCATTCTCAGGTACTGAAGATTCAAATTTGTACAAATAATTACCCTTTTGGGATAGAATGGGTCCACAATTGGCAATCAAAGTTTTACATAGGAATACACTGGAAAAATCTTGAATCATTTGCTTCTGAAAAACAGTAAATCTTTGATTAGTCATATCTTTAACAGTGCATCTGCAGTTAGTGTAGATTCAAATTTGTTCAGATCATGAACCCCAGGGATAGGATGGGGCCACAATGGGCAATCAAAATCAAAATTTTACTAGGAATATATAGAAAAAAATCCTTAAAAATCTTCTTCTCTGTAGCAGCAATGGGCAATCAACTTCTACATAGGAAAAATTTGAAAAAAATATTCTCGTCAAGAACAGCAAAGCCATGATTTGTCATATTTTGATGGAAGAATACAGTTCAAATTTGTTCAAATCATGACCCCCCGAGTATTAGAGTAGGCCACATTATGGAAAAAAATCTGGTGATGAAGAACAGTGTCAGGTGAGCATTGTGGCCCATGAGCATCTTGTTTTCTTAGGTGTTGGCTATTATAGATCAGATACAGGGTATACATGTACATTGATTACATTACATAAAATGCATAGTAGTAATAGCGATTGCAGCGAGCTCTTACAACAATTCCTGCATGGGTCAAGAGAAAATTCAGACTGTGCATATTGATCCTATTAAATTTTTTACACAGTGACCTCCAGACCCACAACCCTTTCTGAAATTGCATTTTGCCACAAACTGCATTATGGCAGTAACAACAAAAGTCAACCATAAAATAAATTCACCTTGATTTAGCAATTGTTTAATGAATATTGCAGAGAGATTATAAATAAATTAAATGTCCTTTGTTATAAATTTGCACTTTTCAGACTTGTTTATGGAAATGCAACTAACATAAGACATCATGTGACTTCACAGTCTATATCTTCCTATAAATGTCTTCTGTGATCTAAGTTAAATTTGAATTTAAATTAAAATTAATTTGTTATCTTGTAATGTGCAACTGCGCTCACCCCACTAGTTGCACCATCAACATATTAAAAAAACATAAATATATAAAATTCAGATGCTAAACGTGCCAAAATTACAATTAATGCTCATATTTACTTCCTATTCCATTATATTTAGCATCGATACTACCTCCAATAGCATTCACCTACTTTCATTAGCATGGAATAAATATAATTTAGCAAGTGTAAGTGAACATTCAAAACAGACAGTTAAGCATTTGAATTAATTAGCATATAAATGCTGTCACAGAAAATGGTCCCTGTACTAAAAGGCTAAGTATAATGAAGTGCTATATTACATGAATTGGACTAAAAAAAAAATCTGCATTCTTTACTGTAATTTGAGGATTTCATATAGAATTTATTATAATACTAATTCAATTTTGTGCATGATATAAACTTAACTTTGCTTTTGTTGTTTTGTTCATAGTTTTTACACTGTCTAAATGTATATGGGGTAATTATGTGAAGGGAAAACTGCTTTTTGACTTAGAATTTGTAGATTTTTTGTGGTTATACCAGAACTGAATACTTCAAATTTTCATCATTTCATGACAATAAAATGTGTATTTAATTCAGTATTAATTTAATTTAATTTCAGAGTGCTATAGATTGTGTTTTATGTGTTACAGCAAAGCAGAAGAAAGAGAAAGACAAAGCCTTTGTGAAATCTACAGTAGAAGAACGAAAACGTCTGAATTACAAATCAAGGATTCCTAGGTACCCCCAGAGTATGGTCAACAGGTTTCCTGTCCCCGATGACAAGGTTGCCTGGGAGGTTAGTATTTAAGATTTTTGTCTCAAGACTGATTACATGTAGTACCAGCAAAATGCTTCACTTATATTTTGTACAAGTATACAGTGTGAATAATCCTTATAGAGAAAAGTATTATAACAAGAACCTGCTTATAAATAACAGAGTCACATTTTTTTCATTAAAATACTTCAAAGTAACAATCGAAATGAAACTTTATTTGGATTGAAAGAAATGTATTTTTTTTACAGAGCTTGTACTTTCAGGGATAAGCTTTCTTTTGTTGTATTTCTCTGACATCTATATGTATTTACATTCTACCTCTCCAATCTTTATGACGTACAAAATTTATGTAAATTAAAATAGCCTTTTGTGACTTTTTTTGGAAAATATGATTTTTTCAACATTTTCTTGTCTAAGCCTGAAAATTACATGTATTAACTTGTAAATGTACATACCTTTCACACTATTCTCAGATTCCATTTCTGGAATATGATCCAGTGGTGTATGAAGCACCTGAAGTCAAGAGTCATCCATACTGGGCTGACACTATAGACCTTATTTACATGTAAGTTCAGGAAAATCCGAAAGGGGGGGGGGGGGGGAGGACATATGAAGGGTTAAATTATACACAGGTCTTAGGGTTGTCATGGTTCCAAAATTTTTCGGGTCGGGTCAGTTCTGTAAATTTTCGGTTCGGTTTTGGGTTTTTCGGTTCGGTTTATTGCCTCTATTTTAAACCTAAATTTCATGTATTGAACATAATAAAATCTTTATTTGTTACGTTACATTCACCTTGAAAACAAATTTTATCCATGTTAACGTCTTGACATAGTGTTTAGGACTATTAGGCCGACTATTAGCTACAACCTGACCATTCTTGCTTGTTTTGATAATTATCTAATCCTTTTGTGACAACTGCTTTGTCATGGAATGAAGTATAATTCAGTTGTGATGTGTATTTAGCACTGTTATCGTCATTATTCTTTTGATTTCGACACCATTTTTTGTATAAAACATATTCTAATATAGAAACCAGAATCGAACTGAAAAATGGAACAGAAACCTAACCGAATAACTTGGACCACGGTTTTCGGTTATTTCGGGGAACCATGACAGCCCTAACAGTTCTTGAAACTCTTTTGAAGAAAGATGCACTGATATAGGACATATATTATAGCAAGAACCTGCTTATAACAGAACGACAATGAATTTATAGTGGAAAGGAACAGACAATTGAAAGTGATTATAAATTATTATTTGTATTTTTCCAGGAAGTTTGTATTTGGTACCCTACCTTAGACACACTGTATTCAAGGCATTTATTTTTGTTCGTTGAAAAAAATTTGAGACAATGAGGGTAAAAAAAACTTTTAAAAACAAAAAAAAAGAAGTTGGGGCTGCCAACTCACTTTCACATATCCCTGGTATTCGAGATATCAGTGCTCAAGATAAAGAACTTCAACTGTACATTATTACCACTGCTTCTGATTATTGACTTGAAATGTTTATGTTAGAATTGAAGAAGACTTTCATGGCACATCCTAACACTGCTGATTTGTAAACAACTGTCATAAGCCAATCAGTTCAGGAAATCTGGTGTTTTTAGACCAATGCGTAAGAGGAAAATCCGAAATTGCTAGCTGTAAAGGTTTTGAAATGGTTCATTCCTCTATGGGTTGTTTACAAGATGATGTAATAAAGTACTGATGCAAAGTTCAACATTGCTATATAAATATTTATCAGTTTTTCAGAATCTACCTATAATAGTGTATCTGCGATTATCACTTTCTATGGGTGGCTAGGGTAGAAGCTCTGTTCTGAAAAGGGTACAATAAACCAACTGTATTTCACAGATACTTTTTAGCTCACCTGAGCTGAAGGCTCAAGTGAGTTTTTCTGATCACATTTTGTCCAGCGTCCATCTGTAGAAAACTTTTCACATTTTCAACTTGTTCTCAAGAACCACTGGGCCAATTTCAACCAAACTTGCCACAAAGTATTCTTTTTTAAAGGGGATTCTAGTTTGTTCAAATGAAGGGCACACTTTTTCCCTAGGGAAGATAATCATTAATTAGTGAAAAATTCATGGCATCTTTTAAAAATCTTCTTCTCAAGAATCACTGGGTTAGAAAATATGAAACTTATGTAATCTTCCTCAGGTAGTGTAGATTCAAGTTTGTTCAAATCATGACACCCAGTGGTATGGTGGGGGCACAATGGGTGATCATAGGAATATATAGGAAAAATCTTTAAAAATCTGCTCAAGAACAGCTAAGCCATGATTGGTCATATTCTTATGGTAGCATCCTCAGGTAGTGTATAATCAAATTTGTTCAAATCATGACCCCCAGGGTTAGGGTGGGGCCATTATGGACAATCAAAGTCTTACCTAGGAAAAAATCTTTCAAAATCTTCTTCTCAAGAACAGGTAAGCCATGATTGGTCATGTTTATGTGGAAACTTCCATAGGTAGTGTAGATTTATGTTTCTTCAAATCATGACCCCCGGGGATAGGGTGGGGCCAGATCATGACCCCTCAGGAGTAGAAAGAGGCCACAACAGGGATCAAAGTTATACAAAGGAATATAAAGGATATATCAATAAAAAAATCTTCTCAGTAACAGCAAGGCCATGATTAGTCAGAAGCACTCTGCAGGTAGTGTAGATTCAGGTGTGTTCAAATCATATCCCCAGGAGTAGGGCAAGCCATCAATAGAAGATCAAACGTACGAGAAAAATCTTGAAAAATCTATTTAAGCCATGATTAGTCAAAGAAATATGGAAGCATCCTCAGTTAGTGTAGATTCAAGTTTGTTCAAATCATCATTCCTCACCCCAACCATTTTCAGACTAAAATTGCCACTTATTTAAAGATGTCTTGGCAACTAAATTGTATTTTTTGCAATTTGTCTCTGAAAACACACAAAGGTTTGTCACATGTGAAGAAAACCTGGCTTGCTTAATGCTATCTTTAAACATTCATTTGCATTAAAATTATTCACTAAAGCAACTGCATCTGTGGAATTTTATGGTTTGCACTGAAAAATATATAATAGGTGCATTATTTAAGATATTTAGAGAGATATTTTCATTTGTTTATTGTAACATGATATTACATTATTAATTTTTTTTTTTTTCTTCTTTTTTTTTTGCAAACAGAACAGTCTGTTGCAAAGTAATCTAGCTTGGTTGATAAAAAGCTACAGTTGGATAATGAAGTGATTATTGTTTGCAGTATGTAAGAATCTTTAGTATAGTATATTGATGGGACAGAGACTATCATGTTTAACAATTTTTAATCCTCACTTTCTGATAGGAAACCTTCAGACAGAATTGGAAAGATCAAGTTCAATGAATATGACAACAACAACAGGTGTGATAGGAAAAGTTACTGGGGTACTTATGAGGTACGTGATGGACTTCCACTGAACCCTGCCGGTCGGACAGGGATCATAGGACGAGGTCTTTTGGGACGATATGGACCTAATCATTGTGGAGATCCCATAGTGACCAGGTAAACTTCTTATCTGATCCTGTGTCATTTAATAATTTCTATGGACTAAACCAGGTCTGGAAGATTTCCAAATATGGAAGTTGACACTGATAACTGAAAGTTGCTATAAATATGCATCATATACATGTAAATATTTTTCTGCCCAATCAGACAATAGCATTTTTACACACCCCAAAACATATTTCAAAGAAACAAAAAGAGAACAAGTGCTTTTGTTTTTTTTTCCTCAAAAAGATTTTTTTGACAAAAGATCTTTAGAAGTAAGATGAAAAGTTTGGAAGAATAAGGTATTCCCCACATATATACCATGAACAAACCTGATATTTTCATCTCGGAAAAGAAAAAAAAAATGCATGTAAATATGCGATCGTTTATGGAGGAATAGATCACACCTACAAGCTATTATTAAGTACAGTTAAAACATTTAGCAGAACATAGTCTTATGATGGTAAATATAATTTTGCTTAGGTGTCAGTTTCATCGATAATGCATAGTTTCTATGTGTATACAGTCCCTGAAATGTTGTACTTTCCCACTTGAACGGTGAGCGAACGCAGAGCGAATGGTGAGTGAACGATGTTGAACGCTGAATGCAACTTGGTGAACGGTAGGTGAACGCAGAACGGTGAGCGAATGCAGAACACAAATGGAGCGTGAACGCGAGCGCAAAGTGAACGGTGAACGAACAGTGAACACAAGATGAACGATTTATTCTGAATGCCTCTGATTTTTTCCATGCATTGTATTGTATCAATTGTATTCTAATGTCAGGCGCAAAATAAATAAATAAATAAATGTAATCAAAAATTGTCCTAAGAAAGACGAAACATGCACATTAAGTAAAACTATTAATTAAGTTTCTTACAATATTTTCTGCAAATATGTATGATGTTAAAATTCAGCTGTTTAATCACACGATTTTTATCGCTGTAAAACATTGTCATTGTTACCGAACACTATAGTTTAAAAGATAAAATCATTCTAGTTGTAAAATAAATATGTTTTTTTTATTTGATATATAAAACTATTACAAATAATGATTTTCGAAGAGGACATTACTGACTTATAAAATGAATTACAACAGTTGTAACAGCCATACATGTTTTCCATGTCAAGGCAATTCCTTGTAAAATAATGAGAAAAATTTTTTAAATATTTTGCTTCGGTCTGTGGACATATTGAATGTATACACTCGTACTTTAAAAATTTAATGCAATAATTTATTTATGTGTCTTTTCATTTTTTATGATGATTTATTAGCAGACTTCTACACGTATAGATCTGTAGACAATTCCCTGTGATTACACTCGGACAAGATGATACAAAGAAGCATTCATATTATTTGTTATAGATTAAAATTTCAGAACTTGATATTTAAATAATACATGTCATAGTTTTGATTAAACAGACAAATGAGAGAGAGAGAGCGATTCTGTTTTACCCCCCCCCCTTTCCACAAATGCATGTACATGTACCTCCCCTGTATAAACAAAAATTCTTAATTTTTATCTAAATTCCGGTATATCAGGCAGTGAAAGTAACCTTTTTTTAATCAACAAATTCATTTTGTTTGACAGTCATAATGGTTTTTATTTTCCTGCTTCAAGTTCACACGAAGTCCACATGTTTGTCCTGTCAATCAAAATCATTCGACACTGTGCAGGTGTGAAAGTCTCATCACACCAAAGGCAGAGTGCTACACTGTAGTATTTCCAAGAAGTTTAAACATTTTTTATCATTTCTAGATCTGATTCCAACTTTTCCAAAAAATAAATTGGGCAGGCATAAACACTTATAAAGAACTTGAAACATACTCCCTAGCCAATTTAAAATAACACCATCGGCACGTGTATATTTTGAACTACTTTTGTTTAATGACTTTTTTATAGAGGCAAGTTTGTTTTGAGACTGAAATTTTTGTGCTACAAAACACATTAACTTCTTTTTGAATATTAATTAAAATAGACTGGTAATGCTGACTAAGTAACCGATTTAGGTGGAAAAAGGGGGGGGGGTGTCTTAATCATATCGAATGAATATAAAGTTATTGTGAATAAAGGAATTTTTTCTCTCTAACATTAGACTTTATTTATGAATTGTAGTGTATTACATTTAAATAAATATTTTTAACCACACTATCAATTTAATTTGCTCCAAAGATATTTAATTAACTGGATATCCGCAGTACTATTATAATTCTGGGAACTAGTTCTAATAATGTATTTCTATAATAATTGAAAAAAAAATGTGTTAGTAATAAATACTTTTGTAATTTTGCTGCAGTTGGTAAATTAATTGACATGGATTATTATCTCTCCATTAACAATTTGTCATCTTTATCATAACAACAAAATGTTGCAGTGCTTGAAGTACCCGTATATTGCCCCTTATTTAAATTTAATTTATCAGCATCGTTCTACATAGGTACATGTTTAAAACAACATTTATTTTCCTGGTTAATTTAATAAATAGCCTAATTATATAATAGCTAAGTTAGAATAATAATAAAACCTAGTGTAGATAATTTTTCCCCATGAAATAATGATCCTTTAAACACGACATGTTAATTATTAAATTTCAAATCCTGTAAATCCTTTCTTACAAAAAAAGATAAGTCCTTTCACTTGGGAGTTCCAAATGACAGTGAAAACTGAACGATAAGTGAACGCTGAACGCAAGGTGAACGAACGGAGAGCGAACGGTGAACGCTTTGTGAACAGTGAACGCGAGCGCACAGTGAACGCAGACACAAAACTGTGAACGGAGAGCAAACGGTGAACGAACGGTGAACGCACGGTGAACAAACGGAAAAATGGGAAAATGGAACGTTTCAGGGACTGTAGCTCTACTGCACACAAGTATTCATCGTATAGACTACATGTAGTTTTAAAATAACGGGTTTCATGAGCGCCGAATACCACTTTAGATAGACATAAGGAAATGTGAAAATCATGGAGAAAAGGGAATGTTCATGAATGCTTTTTATTATATCTTACATGTACCTCGCATGTATATCAGAAACTGCATGGATGATTTTGTAATAAACACTCAGGAAATAATTAAGACTGTTATATTCCCATACAAAAACTTTTTCATTTCAGGCTCTAAAAACTGAAAATCTGCCGTATTTATATCAATTTTAACACAAGTTAAACTTTTGGGATTGCTACCTCGTAGTGACAGATTTTTAATCCCACTTAGAATTTATATTAAGTTTTCAAGTCGTGTTTGTTCACAGTAGAATTGCCAAATATACTATATTATTCCTAAATGTGCATAAAGTTTACTAAAAGTTTATTCTTAAAAAATCTTTTGAGCAAAAAACTTTAAAACCACGTGTTTTATTTATTTTCTCATGGGTTTGTCTAAATGCCGTTATCTGATTGGTCAGAAGGATTAGCACCTTGTTTATTCTGTGTATTTATAGCAATTCACGGTTATCGTTCTTGTCTTCCATATTTGGAAATCGTCCAGACCTGTAAACTGATGTAAAATCTTATTCTTTTCTTATGTCAACAGGTGGAAGAGAAATGATAAAGGGGAAGTTGTGATGAAGGAAGGGAAAAAAGTTCTGGAGTTTGTGGCAATTTTTAGAAAAGACAATGAACTTTGGTCTATTCCTGGGGTAAGTGTAATTAAGAACAGACTGCTTTACACTGTGCAGATGTGTTAAAGACGCAGAGTTTACTGCAAAGAAAATTTGTTGGTAGCTCTCAGGTGTCCCTGATATAATGATTCTGAATTGCTGAAACCAGATGGAAATCTCCTCCCCCCTGCTCCCCCCCCCCACCCCCACCCCCAAAAAAAATAAAAATGAAAAGCTCTGAACATAGTAACTAGATGTTAATGTAGTTGGAACTATTGAAAGTGTTGAAACTTTTTTTTTAGGTCCCCTGAGCTTACTCAGGTGATTACTATCTGTTTTTGTCCGTTGTCCTGCCTTACCATTTAAACATTTTCTGCTTCTTTCCTGGAACCACTGAGCCAATTTCAACCAATTTTGGCATATAGCATAGATCTATGAGTGAAAGGGAGTAAAATTTATGAAATTCATGGCACCTGCACCACTAGGGGGCAATCTTTAAAGATCTTCTTCTTTACTCCTGGACATCAAGCAGTCAAACTGTTGCCATGATTGTAATAAGCATTGAGCCCTCTACCAAAATTGTGAAATTCATGGCCCCAGGGTCAGGGGTTCTTGTGTTAGGACAGGGGTCTATTGAGTATATATTGATAATGCATTATTTCTTTAAAAATGTTCTCCTCTGCTCCTGGATATTAAGCAAACAAACTAAATGCATAGTCATGATGAGCAAGGGTACCTCTTCCAAAACTGTGAAATTCATGGCCCCTGGGTAAGGGTTCTGGTGCTAGGATGGGGCTCTAATGATTATATAGCAAAAATGCATTAATGCTTTGAAAATCTCCTCCTCTGCTCCTGGGTATTAAGCAAACCATCTAAATGCAATAATATAAATGTATAAATACAATAATTATAAGTAAATGTGCCTTTTCTGTTCCTGGGTATATAGGAGGCAAACAGAGTACAAAATTGTAATAAGTGAAGCAAATGAGAGTTACTACCCTTGCTAAATTGTGTTAATCAAGAAATCCTTGTTTATGTAATTTAATTAACAGGTTATTTGATTGCATGAGAATACAAGAAAGAATGCTGTATATATATATAAACAAAATAAAAATAAATGATTTAAATAAGCCTTGAAAGCAATATACACGATTGACATAAAGATTATTTATGAAGCAAAAGGGCCAGTTGTGTACAGAATGTGTATACTGTGATGTTTTGTTTGATAATAGATGAGTTATTGTCAGGTAAAATAATGGAGATCAGTAGTTTAATTGACAAGAGACAGCATAAAGTTGTTTTATACTCAAAGTGAACAAGTGATCACAAGAGAGTCAAGGTGACTAGGGGACATGTTGCAGTTAGTGAAAAGTGGCAAATAGTCACACTGTATAGCCAATTCTCTCTTTATGTACTTAAATGTAGCACTAGGCAAGTGACAAAAACATATCTGTGTATATTGAATACCAGATATACTAGGAAAGTGTCCATTGTTTTTGTATATTTTTCATTCATTATCGTCCCTGTAAGACTTGGGAAAACCAAGTACAATCCCAAGGAGATCACTTGGGTCTTGCACAGTACAATATTCCTACCAGATTTTTTTTTATTCTTGGGCAACATAGCTTCATCTCTCAGTTGATTTTGCTCTATACTTCTATGGATCCTTTACAGTGTTGTATTTTACTCAGGTGATCATTAAGGCCCTTGGTCCACTTGTTTAGTTCACCTTAATGAAGTCAGGATTAGCTTTTGCTATTCCCCCAGCATCGGTGTTGGTGTTCCTGTTAGTTTTATGGGCAAGTCCATTAAAAAGTAACCGTAAGCCCTGTCTGGACCAAACTTGAATGGATGATGCATCTAGGGATGCGCACTACCAGATTTGCTTCAGCTGCTGGATCTAACCTACATTTTCCAGATGAGTGATCAGGTTTAAATTTTGGGGCAAGTCCATTTCTAAGTAACTATAAGTCCTTTAGTGACCAAACTTGCATTGATGATGCATCTAGGAATGCATAGTAGTAGACATGCGCTGGATGCTGGATCTAACCTACATTTTTAGGTCACCTGAGTCACTCAGGTGATCTATTGCTATCTGTTTTCATCCGTCGTCGTGGGTCATCAGTCGTCCATCATGCAACATGCATCATGTGTTAACATTTGAACATTTTCAACTTCTTCCCTAAAACGGCTGAACCAATTTCATCCAGTTTTGGCATATAGCATCTTTTGAAGAAAGGGAACAAAAATTATATATTTCATGGTCCCTGCCCCCCTGGGGCCTGAGAGGTGGGGCTAAAACTACCAAAATTAATGCAATCTTCAAAAATCATCTTCTTTACTCCTGGACATCAAGCAGTCAAACTGTTGGCATGAATGTGTAATAAGCATTGAATCCTCTACCAAAATTGTGAATTTCATGGCCTCAGCATTAGGGGTTCTGGTGCTAGAAAGTGCATTATTTCTTTGAAAATTTTCTTCTCTGCTCCAAGGTATTATTTAAACAAACTAAATGCATTGTTATGATAAGCAAGGATGCCTCTTCCTAAATTTTGAATTTCATGGTCCCTGGGTCAGGGGTTATGGTGAAAAGGGGGGGGGGGGGGGCTATAATTGATTATATAGTGAAAAAGCATAATTTCTTTGAAATTATATTTTTTTTTCTTTTCCATGTTTAAAAACAAAGAAACTAAGTGTATAGCTATGATGAGCAAGAGTGCTTCTTCCAGAATTGTGATTTTCGTGACTCCTTGGTCAGATGTTCTGGTGTAAGGGTGGGGCTCTATTGATAATATATTGAAAATGCACTAATTTTATTAAATAATCCTGTCTGCTCCTTAGTACTGAGCAAAAACAAAGTGCAAAGTGCAGTGTTCGAAATTAGCGTCGGCCCGTCGGTCCTGCGCCGACGTACAAACGAAAGGACTCACGAATAGTATGACTAAATGGGTCCTTGAAATAATTTTGGGCCGATGATGATTTGCCGGGAAATAAGTTAACGTCAATCACATCTTCTCAGACCGTTGTTTTTCTTTACCGCTTGTTGGAAAGGCGTAAGAAGTTGCAATTAAAGTTTAGGTATATTGGTGTATGTATTTACATTAACTTTTATATCTTTCCTGCATTTTAACATGTTTAATTGGATATATTAAACATTTTAACCAATGAGCGTCTAATGAGCGTCTTTAAATCAAATTGGACTTATGATGGGCAAAACTTGTTATTTTTATCAAGATAGTATAATTTCTTCTTTCATGTGTATTTTAAACAAATACTGAAGATTTGATTTCTTTTCTGTATGGAATAAAGTTACGTTATATGTATGCGGTTACATTTTATCAACATATTGTGGTAATCTATGAAACCTGCGTAATTTTTTATCCGCGGATTTTAAAACAGAAATTATATTTCTGAGGAAAAGTATGTATATTGTAATATAATTTAATTTTGGATGTAAAGCGTCATTTGATTGGATAAAAAAAATAGAAAATAGCGTATAACCTGGGTTGCCTACGTCAAAATGACTTACGTTAAAAACGTATCAATCCGCTTGACGTTACATTTAAAATACGTACAATTTAAGGGCATTTTTGAAGGAGAAATTGTTTTATTTTTTTACACTTAATGATGGGAAATTAAATTATAAGGAATAACTTTAATAGCTACCCAAGTTATACTGGTATAACCTGGGTTGGAACAGTTTACGCTTTTTTATAAAACCGCTTCGCGGTTTATAAAGCGTAAACTGCCCCAACCCAGGTTATACCAGTATAACTTGGGTAGCTATTAAAGTCATTCCTTAAATAAACACATGTCAAACTCATTAAATGTTATATATGACCAAGTAAGACAGTGTGATGATTAATATCTTACCGTTTCAAATTGTTAATACTTGCGAATTGTAGATACCCTTTATTAAATTGACATAATTCATATGAAGCAATAAACTTACCAAGATCATCGATACGTAAAAGTTTATTTTCCCAAAATATTTAATGGTATTATTTTTTGGCCTGCGCTGCCCTGAAAGGACTCGTGTAGTCCCTTTATCTGTGGGTCCTTTGGACCCATAGAAAATAATTCTGAATTTCGAACACTGGCAAAGTGCATAGTTATGATGAGCAAGGGTGCTTCTTACAAAATTTTTAAAACTTGTGGTCCCAGGGTCAGGAGATCTAGTGTTACTCGTGGGAGGGGGAGGGGTCTATTGATAATGTAGTGAAAATGTGTTAGTTCTTTGAAATGCATAATTATGATGATGGGGGTACCTCTTTCAATTTTGTGAATTTCATGACACTGGGTCATGGGTTCTGGTGTTAGGGTAGGGCTGTGTTGAATCTGTAGTGAAAATGCATTATTTCTTTGAAAATCTTTCTGCTTCTGGGCATATGGGAGGCAGACTAAAAGTTTTAATACGCAAGGGTATTTTTACTAGATTTTTGAACACCTGGACCATTTGGTCAAGTGTTCTGGTTCTATCCAGACTCTTTTAATTTGTATTCTACTGAGAGAATTCCCCTTTGTTATTACCTTTGATAACAAATCACTGTAAATAATGTTCTTGAAAGGTTAATAGAATAAGAAAATTATGCAAGAGTTTTTGTTGTATAATACAAAAAGTACTTTCAGAGTTTTAATGGTCAGGTAGACCTGTAAATAATAGATAAATAAAAGTGAGAAAATATAACTTCCCTTATTAAGTGTTCTTCAAAGACCAAGAGAGGTCAATGTGAGAGGTGATAATATGGGGTAAATAATAGAACTGATGTACCACTTTTTTGTTAATAGTCTGCATGGTAATAATGATAAATGGAGGACAGATTAGAACTTACTTTATGAGTTGTTACAGAATACTAGACTAATTATTTCGTTGCTATTTCTCTTGCTTTTGGGCAACAAAGCTTCATCTATCAGTTTATTTTATACTCTATGGATCTTCTAAATTGTTGTATTATACTCAGGTGACCGTTAAGGCCCTTGGGCCTCTTGTCCAGAAGAGTGACCAGGTTAAAGTTTTTTTGACAAGTCCAGTAACTATAAGCCCTACCTGGACCAAATCTGTATGAATAATGCATCTAGTGATGCACATTTACCAGACTTGCTTTGGATGCTGGATCTGGCCTACATTTTCTGGATGTCTAAATAGGTTTAATGTTTTGGAGCAGGTCCATTCCAAGCAATTCAAAGCCCTACCATTACCAATCTTGCCTAGTTGATGCATCTAGGAATTCACATTACCAGACATGCTTCAGATGCTGGATATGACTTATATTATCTGGTTGAGTGACATGTTTCAACTTCTTGTAGCAGGTCCTTTCTTAGGTACCGTAACTATAAACTCTATGATGACCAAATTTGCATGGAGCATGCATCTAGGGATACACACTACCAGACTGGCTTCAGATGCTGGATCTGGCCTACATTTTGAACAGGTCCATTCCCAAGTAACTTAATTCCTACCTAGTCCAAAGTTGCATGGATGATACAACTAGGGACTTGCTTTGTATGCTGGATATGATCTGCATTTTTGGATCAGGTCCATTCCCAAGTAAATGTAATCTTACCTGGACCAACCTTGGATGGATGATGCATCTAGGAATGCACACTAACAGACTTGCTTCAGATGCTGGATCTGTGATACTTTTTTTGAAGCAGGTCTATTCCCAAATAACAGTCAAGCTGTAGATTGACCAGAGTTGCATGGATGATACATCTAGGGATAAACACCACCAAATATGCCTTATATACTGCATCTGACTTGTCTGGATGATCTCACGTTTGTTTTCAAGATATTGAAACAGTTCAATTTTTTTAACATTCCCAAGAAACTATAAATCTTAACCATACCAGACTTGCATGGTTATTGCATCTAAATGCACTACCAGAGCATTTAATTAATGAGAGACATTGCTTTATAGATAGCATCTGTCAAGGTGAGCTTTGTAATCTTTGATTATGTATTGTTTTTTTTTTATCTCTTCAATATTGCTTTAAAAAGCTGTATCCTTACAGAGTTGACAAATACCACTCAAATTTTGGCTTCCAGAAGCATTAGAACATTGTAAATTTTACAGAAAACTGATAAAGATTTTCGACTTTGACATGTTCCTGCTGGTTAGGTATCACATACATGTATCAATGCTGTGTTACAGGGTATGTGTGAACCAGGACAGAAGGTGTCTCAGTGCCTGAAGGCAGAGTTTACAGAGGAAGCACTGGGAACATTGGTCAATGACCAGACCATGAAAGATAAAATCAACAAAGACCTTCAGTACATGCTGGATCATGGAGAAGAGGTAACAGGATTAGTGATGTATTTCTTAAAAAGCAGAATTATTGGGTTATTGTGATCATTTACAGTAAACCAACTTTTATTCGCATGCGAGAAATATTCGTGAGTTTTGCGACCTACATTTATTCGCACATATTAATCGCCTCGAACCATTTATTTTGCTTTGTATTTGTAGAGAATGTTTCCTGAGTCGCAGAAATTAATCGTCGCGGATTGATTTTAAACTGACGAATCGCGAATAAAAGAAGACGTGAATAATAGTTGGTTTACAGTAATTTATATGACCTATCCTATGCCTCCTTTTATTATTCTTATTGGGGAGTGTGGGGCTACAAAAACTGGTGTTCAGGAGAACACGAGATTGTCAGATACATTGCCACTACTGAAATTTTTGTATTGTATTCAGATTCCATTTTATTTTGGCTTAGTATATACATGTACATATCATATGCCTCCTCTGACAATTTTGGATTAGATTTCCATCCAGTTGAAAATAATGAATATGTCTTATCATAATCTAATTATTAATTAGAATACTTAATTAACCCTATGAAAGAAAAATAAGGATTAAAAATAATAAGAATAAAAATGGCATAGCAATTTTGTTTTTTAAAATGATTATGAATCAGCTCAATAAAACTTTACTTTGACTAGATATACAAAGGAATTTGTGATGATCCCAGGAATACTGATAACGCTTGGTTGGAAACTCTTGTGTTTAGCTATCATGACAACACAGGCAAAATTCTTCATCCATTCCTTTTACGAGTAAGCATTGTTTTTATTCATACAAGAATTGTTAAAGACATACTGATCAACTTAATCAGTTTTGTTTTTTTTTTCCCTATGAAATTACTGTTTTTAACTGCATGATTTCTTAGCTGCAGATCTGTAGCTCGCTGGTCTGAAAAAATTGGAATGGATGACCAGAGAGCTACAGTGCCACCCATGAAAAAAAAAGTATAAATTTATTGCGCACAAAAAAGTGAGCTATTTTTCGATTTATTTCTCCATATTTTTAAACTGCAATCTCAAAATATCAGTAACTGTGTGTTCATATTCTTTCACTATTTCCACATCAAAAAATTCCTATAACCATGTTAATAGCCCTCCTGGGCCTTAAAATGAGGCCATCCAAGGGTTTGCCTGTTTATACTGCCATTTTGGGTAGCAAGATAATTCAGCCCAATGCCCTTCCTAAAGATGTCAACTACAAGGGTAGTTGATAGAGAGGTCTAGGAAATTTTTTTAGAAATCCAGCTTTTGTGCAATTGAGGTAAGAATTTGGAGAAACAAATCCAGAACCAAGCACAACTTATTGTGTGTAGTACAGTTTCTTTCTATGGGTATAGTTCTCTGTTCTGTAAATAATTCCTTTTTTTTTTTTTGGAGAGCTGCAATTCTGTTTTTTTTTTTTAAACTCTCTAAGAATTTTTTTTTAAAAAACTTTCAAAGAAAAATTTATTTTCAGGTAACTTGAAATTCACATTTGTTATTTCTTTTCTTCATATTTAATTTTCACACTAGTATACATCTGATGGGTCTTCTTACCACCAATATATAGCCTATTCACAATATGTACAAGATAACCTTTGTGTGCAGTTATAATTTGATTTTTTCTTTATTTCTAGGCTGGAGAGACAGTGGAAGCTGCTACATGGTTAGAGGTGTCGTCTAGTCTAATCCTTCACTCCTCTCATCTATTTTATGTAAAGCTTGTGGCTGACAAGTTAAATGCTTACTACTGAGAGGATGCAAAAGGATATGGTATTTATCCAGTGGGAAAAATCAAATACTACTTATTGTCTAGTGAAATTTGAGAACTTGCCTTAATGCTCATGAAAGAAAGCATAAACATTTCAAAAGAGTCTTATCACTCATTGTCACTTTTAGCACCTAAACAAGTCATGCCTCAATTATCACAATTATTAACTAAATTATTGACTATTTTACTGATGGAATGTATGTAATAAAAGCTTAATGCTCTTAGCTCATTGTTGGCTCAAAAGGAAAGTTTAGTTGCTGCAGTCCATATTGCATTCAGAAAATTATATCAATATTTGTGATTATGAACCTATCTAAAGTGCCTGGATATATCATAAATGCCATAATTATCATTGTAATATTTACATAAATCATAGACTTTTGACTAAACTAGTCCATAGTTGTAGAAAATTCAAGGCATTTACAGTAAATTGTGTGTATAAGGAATTCAGAGGGTTGCATTTTATTGAAAATGAGTCTTTCTTGAGATTATTAGTCAAAGAAAACCATTTCAAAATGACTGCATAAATTGACTTAATATTTTTTGCATGAATATTGACATGTACAGTAATGTGAGTTATTTGCACATTTAACTATGAGTATGTACATTAAATCAATATTTCATTAAGTGTACATGTATATAGAATTCTTCTTTGTTAAGAAACATTTGTGATCCATGACAAGAGTTGAAGTTCACAGAAGTATACCAGCTAGTATTTCAACTCAATTTCTTCAAACAAGGTCTAAATCAAAGTTTGTTTGTTTCCATTGCAAGGTCCAAATCAAAGTTTTGTCTTGATTCTCAGCATATTTTATTGCTAATTTTCAGAATGATAACCTAACAGGCTTTAATTGAGATTTTGTGCATTGAGGTCCAATTTCAACTCTTTTTCAAGCACAATATTTGTGCTCAGCATTTTTATTGTCAGACCTGCTGGGACTCTCAGCATTTGTTTAAATAATTAGTATTATCCTTTGAATTTCATGAGTACATGTATGTCTAGTTGAACAAATGACATTTGTCAGGATCTTTCTGTAATGTTAAGAAGAGTACTGTAGTATTAGCCCAAAGTGCATTGATTCATTGGATCTTAATATATGCAGATATATATTTCACATATCAATAGGGAGTTTCATAAGCCTCTTTTGGCTTGTATATTTATTTTTTTATTAACCATTTTTGTTCACATTGAGATGAATATTTTAACAGTGGGTAAGTTAATTTTCTCTACTGAAGTTTTTTTTTTTTAAATTAAGGAATAAAAATGTCTTTCTGTGAGCCACTATTAAAATTATTTAAGAACTACAATATACATGTATATTGTTTTTACATTTTTATTTTTTACACATAGGCTGTGATATAATTTATTGTTTTAAGCTTTTTGAAAAGATTTTTTGCTAACTGGTGAAGGTCTGTATTGATAGTGTGTTATTTATTGAGAGAATTAAGGTGAATAAACATGTTATTGCAAAGTATTTTATCAAGTTATGAAACAGCTGTTTAAAAAATAGAATGGATAGAAGATGCTCATTAAAGAACTTTAATTGGTTGTTTTTAATCATTTTTTGTTGCTATTATCCGTCCATGATGGAGTACATTGTCTGAACTATTTTAAGAATCTTTCTAACATGTGGAAATAAAAAAAATTTGAAAAAACTGTTTGTTACCATTATATTTATGTTAAATAAAACAAGACATTTTACACATTAAATGCTCTTGATGATCATAGCTCATTGGATAGCATTGTTTGCTCATGATTTTAAGAAAATTTAAAAAGAAAATTGCTGTTACCTGAGGTTTTTTGCTCACCTGAGCAGAAGGCTCAAGTGAGCTTTTCTGGTCACATTTTGTCTGGTGTCCATCTGTCTAGCTGTCCGTCTGTCTGTAAACTTTTTCACATATTCGACTTCTTCTCAAGAACCACTGCGCCGATACGTTTGATTTCCATTAGTGAACTCTTCAAAATTAGAGGCGCGTTTGGTCGTCTGACTGGGACAGCATGGCGTTGCGGATAGTACAAAACATGCCAATCTCAATCCAATTTTAAGTGTTAAATGTATTTGTCATTCCAATTAAGGAATAGAAGAACTAAAAGACATATGTAAGAGAGCGAGAACCCTAAATTTATCATCCATTAATAAACAATACGATATTTCCGAGGCATGTGTATTGTATTAGATGTACCATATGATGAATAGATACATACGATCAACAAAAGATATAAATTGATATCGTTGTCATTCCTACTCTTGATGTACGTAAAGTCCACAACAATAAAATATTTATTTGCATTTTGTTAGGATTTGTTCATCGACATTCAACATATTGTTTACATGTTTATGATACATTTGTCCCAAAAATCCCGCGAGATTTGTACATTTTCCGACTTTTTCACAAAAGAGCGCACTAAGAAGTATAACTCTTCCATAGTGGAAATGGAACGTATTTCAACCAAACTTGCCAAAAAGTATCCTTGGGTGAAGGGGATTCAAGTTTGTTCAAATGAAGGGCCACGCCTTCTTTTGAGGGAAGATAATTATGAATTAGTGAAAAAATAATGGCATCATTTAAAAATCTTGTAAAGAACCACTGGGCCAGGAAAGATGAAACTTATATTGAAGCATCCTCAGGTAGTGTAGATTCAAATTTATTAAAATCATGTGCCCCTGGGGTAGGGTGGGGCCACAATGTTGGATCAAAGTTTTACATAGAAATATATAAGAAAATATCTTTAAAAATCTCCTGCTGAAGAACAGCAAAGCCATGATTGGTCATATTTATATGGAATCATCCTCAGATAGTAAAGATTCAAGTTTGTTCAAATCATGACCCCAGGGATAGGGTGGGGCCAGAACTGGTGATCAAAGTTTAGCATAGGAATACACAGGAAAATTCTTTAAATCTCTTCTTCTCAAGAACAACAGTCATGATTGGTCATATTTTAATGGAAGCATCCTCAAGTAGTTTAGATTCCAGTTTGTTCAAATCATGACCCCTGGGGTTAGGGTGTGGCCATAATGGGGGATCAAAGTTTTACATAGGAATAACAAAGGAAAAAATCTTTTTCTCAAGAACAGTAAAGCCACAATTAGTCGTACTGATATGGAGGCATCCTCAGATAGTGTAGAATCAAATTTGTTCAAATGAGGACCCATGGGGGTAGGATGGGGCTCAATGGGGGATCAACTTTTTTTACAAATGAATATATGGGAAAAAATCTGCTGCTCAAGAACAGCAAAGCCATTTGTTATATTGATATGGAAGCATCATCAGGTAGTTTAAAATTCAAGTCCGTCATTTTATTCAGTTATTTTTAGCATCAGCATGTGAATCATGTGTCCTTTTTAAATTTTTTTCCATATTATGACTGATTATCTGTATTTTAATTGATTTAGAATGCCCAAGTCCTTATGCAGAATAGTTATCCAAGTGCAAGTATTTGAGAATTCTTTATTAGGAATTTTAAGGATATTTGCTTGGTCTAAGGTACATAATATTTTGACAGATATTCATTATGAAATCTTACTCCAGATCTAGATTTACTGTTCATGTCATGAACTCACAAGAGCTGAAGGCTCACTAGACTATTCTCATCAAATTTATGGGATGAGATCCGTAATTTGCCTCGATGTGCTTTAAAACTTGTGCCTCAAAGAGGAAATCATTAAAGTAGACAACATATAACAACTTTGTATTTTGAATTCATAGGTTAAAACTAACTAGAATGCAAGAATCCAACAAAGACCATTACAAGGGAAGTTTGTATTCTTTTTTAAGGTAGTACACAGTAAGTCAAATTTTTCCACAAATTCAACTTTTTGAAATTTTGTTCTAGGATACAAAATCTCTCTTTATATTTAATTTGAAGGAAATTCAACCGCACGTTTTTTGCCTCTTAGTTTGTAATATGCCCTACTAGACCTCTGTAAGAAGATTGTGACAGACACTGTACTTTAAAATATGCATTTTTTTAAAAAATACCGATTAATATAGCAAATTTGTGTGATGCTTTATATAAATACTACCTTTCTGTCACTAAATTTCAATAAATTATATTGATACCGGTATATATTGAAGTAAAATGTGATGAAAAAATCAACCATACAAAGCCCAAATTCACATGTATAACAGATTGATTGAAATGGAACCTAGATTGAAATGTGTCAAAATGAGGAAAACCGACATTTTAAGATATTTTTGCAAATTCAAAGAAATATTCATTACAAAAAAAGAATCAGTAGATGACGTCACAATATTTGACCTCTAAATATGACCTTGACCTTAATTGTGTATAAAGATTGGAGGCTCCTTATAAATATGTCTAACTATAATTAAATGGATCAAAAGTTACTTTGCATTTATTAACAGACTGTCGTATACCGCGTGTAGATGGTATACCTTCTAAAATGTAGGTTGTCAGATAACTAATATTATATAGGATTCTCTAATTTTTAGCTCTACTGGTCAGAGACAGAAGAGCTTATGTGATAGTAAGGTGTCTGTTCATCCGTCTGTCTGTCTGTAAACAATTTTTCAAAATGCTACTTCTCCTACAGTTTTGGTCTGATTTCAATACAACTTTGGCACACAAATAGACTACACTAAGATACATAATTCTGTTTATCGGTTTTTGATTTCGAAGAACGGTGTTGCCATGGTTACTAAAAATAGAAATTTCTGTGAAATACATTCAAAATGCTACTCCTCCTACAGTTTTAGTTTGATTTCAATATAACTTGGCACACAAGTAGACTACACTAAGTTACATAATTCTGTTTATTGGTTTTTGATTTCAGTGAATGGTGTCGCCATGGTTTTTAAAAATAGAAATTTCTGTGAAATATACATTCAAAATGCTACTCCTCCTACAGTTTTGGTTTGATTTCAATATAACTTGGCACACAAGTAGACTACACTTAGATACATAATTCTCTATATTGGTTTTTGATTTCAATGAACTTTGTTGCCATGGTTACTAAAAATTATAGAAATTTCTGTGAAATACATTCAAAATGCTACTCCTCCTACAGTTTTGGTCTGATTTCGATATAACTTGGCACACAAGTAGACTACACTAGGATACATAATTCTGGGTATTGATTTTTGGTTTCGGTGAATGGTGTTGCCATGGTTTTTAAACATAGAAATTTCTGTGAAATACATTCAAAATGCTACTCTTCCTACAGTTTTGGTCTGATTTCAGTGTAACGTGGCATGCAAGTAACTTGGCACACAAGTAGATTACACTGAGATACATAATTCTATATATCCATTTTTTGATTTTGGTGAAGTGTTGCCATGGTTACAAAAAAATTGAAATTTCTTTGATATACTTTCAAAACATTACTTTGCCTGCAGTTTGGTTTGATTTTAATATAACATGGAGAGCAAGTAGACTACACTGAAATACATAATTTCTTTACTGTTTTTTGATTTTGATGAATGATGTTGCCATGATAACTAAAATCGAAATTTCTCTAAAATTCTTTTAAAAGGCTATTCCTTCTACAGTTTAAGTCTGATTGCAATTCATCTTGCCACAGAAAGAAAGTAAAATAAGGCTTATTACTGATTTATTGATGTTGCAAAGTTTCAACTCCAAGTGCTACTTTTCTCTTCATTTGTTGTAAGTACAAACCAGTAGAGCTACAGTCTCGACACAGACTTCTTGTATATATAATATGGCAAAAAAAAAAGTCACAGTTTTTTTAAAAATTTTCTTACAAAGATCATTGATTAATGACATATTATTTTTTTTTCTAGTATACTTATAATAAATAAATTAAAGCAGATTTCATAGGTGTTTTGTACTACATTAAATGTTAACTACTACAAGGAGAGTTAATTTTAGAGGACAATAAATTTGTTACTCTCTAATAAATAAAAATGAACCACCTGGTAAGTATTTAACACTTTTTATACAAATTAAGAAATGTTTGAGTATATTGAATAAAAGTAAAATACAAATTAAACAACAGACCTTGAGCAACACCTGGCATGTTTGGGTTTTTTTTTTTAAATCGAAACTTAAGGTTTGTGAAGTAAAAAACTGGAAACAGACAATTTTGCGGTTAAAGTTATTCATTTTACTTGTTTAAGCATGCCTTAAGTTGTTATTTTCATGATTTTGCAAAATGTTTGTATCATTTGTCATCAATTTTGTATTTATTTTTTACCTTACTCCGCTGGGGTCTACAATATCTTTTAAGGGATATTTGTTATAGTGGAGGTAATATGTTGCAATATACATGTATACAAAATATATCTTATTTTTCTAGTTATCGATTTCATACATTTACAAACATGAATATTATTATCTTATTAAGAGCTCTGCGGTAGATTATATTTGTACCAATAGTCTTCGGTTCTATTTGTTCTCTCTTCAGTTGTTTTAATACCTCCTGCAATTAAAATTCTAGGTTGTCCTTTTTTTTTTTTTCGGGTTGTACACATTTGTAAATATTTTCGTGAACATAAGGTAGCTACGCTCCTGACATTATGGCAGGTTAAGGAATGTCCAAAGTTTTACAATAAGCGACCCGATAGAAATATCTCTTTAAAATTATTCATTTACCGGTCTTATAGAGTAGGTTTTCTCCTCTAAAGCCCCCCCCCCCCCCCCCCGAAAACTGGCTCTAGAGAAGGATT